TGATTTAGTTGAAATCTATTTTTTTCTTAAATATAATAAATTGTATATTTTTTAATTATTTAATTTATATATACAATAAGATTACCATAGATCAATAATTATATTTATAAATCTTTTAATATCTTTCAATAATTCAAATAAATAGATCCTATTCTTATTATTATATTTTATTATATTCCAATTGTAGTTGTCACAATATTAAACTCATGATATAAAGAATATTCCAATTCATTTAATAAAGATTAATACTTGCCCTTATATGGAATATTATCCATTAGTTATATGATTAAGCTCTTAGCATCTAATAATATCGATTAATTCATATTCATCTCGATTATTAATTGATGATTATATCTTTAATATTTACATGTAATAATTAAAATATTCTTACTAGCTATCAATTCTAAACATCTATTCCTTTGAAATATATTGTTTTATTCTGATTAAAATATTTTATGAATCATAAACTTACTTCAAGAATTTCAATAATTTTCTTACTATTCTGGCCTAGAGATTTATTCTTATATATATATTATACTTCATTTAATGAATTAGTTATGAAAATGATCCACCATACTAAAAAAAAGAAAAAAGAATTTAAACTCTTTAGTTATTTATAGTCTTTAAATTCTCGATTGCTGAATTATGAATCTATTAATACTATAGAAGACTATAATCTCTTTAATAAATAAATCTAGAAGTCATACTCCCTTTATTGACCCTTCTATGTACCACATATTATTCAGGTTTAGTAATTATCAAAATTGCATTGCATAATTTTCGAGCAAGCCATGAATACAAAATAAATATTATAAACTATAGAACTTATTATTTTAACTTACGTACTAATTTAAATACTTAATTTTAATGAATATTTTTATTACGTAATATTAATAAATTTTATATAGAAATAGAGAAATTTGATTTAAGTATGTTAATAAATAATAATAATGAATAGTGAATTGATTGATGGTGAATTATACAATAAAGTACAAGAATGTTTATAAGAGATGTATTAAGCTATTGATGTAAGATATTTAATAATTAGTCTTCATATAATAGAATTGATGCTTTTCTTGATTAAATTCCTCTTTTTTCTAATTCAAGTGTTCCTTTAAGTGATTTTAATAAAATTCCATCATTTCCTTAAATATCATTAAATTCAATTTAAACATTAAGTAATGAAATAATTAAAGAAATTAAACCTATTTTCAATGTAATTATTTATTTATTTAATAATTATAGAATTAATTAAAATAAATTAAATAATAAAATAATATTAAAGGAATCATTAAATAAGACAATAATTATTAATTTAATTTAATCTAAAATCATTCAATTCAATAAAATTAAAGGTGTAATGCAATAGCTTTTAATAAAGATAATTCTATTGTATTAGCTACTTGTGAAAATGATATTAAAGTATTTGAATTTAAATAAGAACAATTGAGATAAACTTAAATTCTAAGTGAACATAAGGATTTTGTTACTACTTTAAATTTCATGAAGAAATCTAATCAATTTATTTCTGCAAGTTTTGATAAATAGATTCTAATATGGTCTATGAATCATAATAATTAATGGATTAGGTAATAGAAATTGAATGGAGATTCTTATTCAAGTTGTTGTTTAGTATTGAACAAAAATGAAGATCTTATCATTTTAGGATGTAATGATAATACAATTAAATTTTGGATGAAGCAGAATGAATGGCTATGTTCATAAACTTTTACAGATCATACAGGTAATGTATGTGGATTAAGTTTGAATGATTAATAGAATAAAGTAATATCTTGTGGATATGATTATTTAATATTAATAATAGAATAGACATTATAAGGTTATAAATGGAATGTAATATAAAAGATATCAATTTAAATGTTTGGTTATCGATTATGCTTCATCAATGATAATTTATTCGCATTTTAATCTTATAATCAAGATTTAATGCATGTTTATGAGATGAGTATTACTAATAAATAGTATATAAAAACAAAAGATATTTCTGTGAAAAGGGGTGGTAAATGTGCGTTTTTCTTTCCTTAATAATATATACATTCAAAATGTTTACTTGTTAATAAGAATGGTTGTTATGTTAATTTGATAAGGAAAAACCAAAATGGTGATTTTATATCATTATAATCTATTGATTATGGAACTAGTGATCTATATGGATAAATGAGTGAAGATGGAGAGTATTTGATTACTTGGGATGATAAATCAAAATAAATATAAATTAGAAAATGTCATTATGAGTGAAACAAGAAGAATCAATTAATTATTAAAATCATATTTATTCATATTAAAAAACAATTTATTATTTTTTTAATCATTTTTATATTACATTAAGGAGAGTATTTTGGATATTCTTGATAAAAAGAATCAAGAAAATAAGATTCAACTTTATTTTGAGTGTTATATCTAAATAAAAAAAAATATGATTTTTAACAAAACCTCTAAGTTAAACAATATATTAATTCTGATTATTTTTTGAAAAATTTGTAGAGAATTATTGTATTTAGGAATC